TTCTTTTTCTAGGGTAGAAGGATGGTGGTTGGAGTTTTAACTTCTAGAAGCTCTTATTTTGCTCAGAGTCGCTTTATTGACGACTTGCTCTGTTTTTTTGAGGGCATTATTTGGAGACTCAGTCTCAGTGATCCTGTCTTTAATCACAAACATGAAGCTAGTCTCCTTATATGCATGAATGCTTTTGTTTTTTTATTATTATTATTTATCTGAAGTGATTTTATTTCTTTCGTTGTTTACCTTGACAAAGTCGTTTTGTGCGACTACTTATGTGTGGATGCCTTAAATGTAATCTTTTTTTTTATCGATGCATCTGGAAAAGTGACTGGCATTCTCCTGCTGGACTTTCATGATTATGATGAAGGGCCCCTCTCTTTTATTCATTTTTTGGTTTAGCTCTATCTTTTGCCTAGACCGCCCTTTTGGGGTTTTCGGTCTAGCGAGCTGCCTTAATTTTTGCCTAGGATATCTTAGCGGGTTTTTTCCTTTTTTATGAATGTCCTAAATTTTTCCTAGACCGCCCTTTGCGGGTTTTCAATCTAGCAGGCTACCCTAACTTTTGCTTAAGAATCTCCTAGCAGACATTATTCTTTTTTTTTTTAGAGATAGGACCCTATCATATGCATGTAATGTTCGCGATATGCATCCTACAATGCTACTTCAATTAATATTTCAAAAGGATTAATCAAATGTGCTTTTACTTCTGATGAGCTTCTCATGTTATGTGCTTTCATCGACAAGATAGGCTGTACAGATTTTGTCGTCTTGACTTTGTCGTGATCGAAGAATGATTATGTTGATTACAGAGTAACTTTCCATTCAGTGCACCCCTCCCTTTCCTTGGGGATGTCAATCCTCCTATTGATTATTATCTCCACATTTCCCTACTAATTACTAGAATGCCTTAGTGGTAAGGGTCAAGAGAAGAGAAGGAAGAGGATATTTAATTCAAAGGCTTATGTTTTAGAATTGTTTTATTTTGACAAAGAATGGTTTTTGTAAGCATGACTAGCCAAGGTTGGTTAGAGTGTTTAGGCTAGTTTAGACAAACGTTTTGTTTATGGTATGGCGTCTTATTCTATGGCACTTGCTATGACTGATTGACTTCCCTAGTCCGCCCTTTGGGTTCTCAGTCTAGGATGTTGTGTTTTGTTTTGTCCTAACTTTTGTCTAGGTTTGTTGCTTTGGGAAACCTAGCGGACTTTATTTTGTAACCCTAATTTTTGCCTAGGCTACCCTTTATGGTTGTTCTGGTTTACCCTAACTTTTGCGTAGCCCCCTTGGTGAGTTTCCTACCGGGTATCTTGTCTTTTCTTTTTGGCCTTTAGCTTGTATGAGCTTCTTTTTATTTTTTTTTTCTCTTTGCACAACATTTGCAAAACACGACTTTATTTATGGTGAGGTAAAACCTTATTTTGTGCTTCTAACCGATCAGTGATGATGGATTTGACTTTTATTTTGGTCAATGGCGCATTTTGATTACTTTGACGCACTTTTGCGTTTGCTTAAACATGGTTATTAATGAGGTTTAGACATGAATAGCAAGAAGAGAAGCAGATAGTAAGAATGACATTCTTTGTAATTAATAGGGAAATATGTGCCCTACAATGCTCGAGGGTCGGGCTAGCCCCGAGGAGTAATCTCTAATAGTCATTGAATTTACAAACCCTAAGAATCAGAAGGAGAATACCTAATGACTAAAGTCGCTTTTGACGCTTGAACCCCTCCGTTTGGGAAAATATGATTCGAGGTGCGGAGGTGAGACTTCCCTTTTCTCCGTGTAGCTTGATCCTTTGTAGGGTAATGCTTGCTTCAAAGGATTGTCTTTAAAATCTGGTGGCTCCCTTATTCCTTGAGAGTTTCTAATGAGCCCTTGGTTTGGGCATCATCCATATTTTCTTATCATGTGGGTCACCTTTATATTGTTGGGGAAGTCTTTTCATATTGGCAAAAGATATTTCAAAGGTCCTTTTCAGCTGCATCCATTCAAGGTAAGGCAGACGACTTGCTGATCCGAATGTCATCTTTAGCTCGAACCGTGACCAGCTTGTCGCCTACCATGAGTTTGTCTCTTTGGCGGAGCGTTGAAAGAATTGTCTTAGCGTCGTGAATCCAAAGTCTATTCAATTTCCTCTTCGGATTATGTTTTTCTTCGGTCTTATTTTTTTCTTTATTCTTAGGAGCATCATCTTATAGTTCCTTGGGGGAATAGATTCTTCCACTTCTAATTTTGCCCCCAATGCTGACTATGCTGGAGATATCCTCATTGATGAGCGATGTTTTTGCGTATCTCCCTGGTACAACTTTGATTCGAATGTAACAGCATCTCTGCCCCCTCTTTCTTGGATATCCAACGGTTGAGGCTTATTCCCCTCCTTAGGCGGATCAACCGTTGGAGAGAACTTGACGATGAAAGGTTTCCTCTTTATCTTATTCCGATTAATGGGAAGCACATTAATTAATCCTTTCTTTTTGTTATCTTATTATTAAAGTGAGAATGAATGCAATCTATGAATGCAATAGACGGTTGAAGAGATGATGAAAACAAATAATTTTATTTATTTCATCCAGACAGTGTACATTCCTCAATGCAATGTTTTAAAAAGCGGAGAAGCCTAAATGAACCCATAGGCGGTTTAGAATTTCTATTTTATTTTTTTTATTTTTTTTACTTCCCGTGCTTGGCATGTAAATGCTCTATCCTCTTGACATAGTATTGAGGAATGCTCTATCCTAACATGATGTAGGATAGTGTTTGGGATTTTTGTATGCAGATGAGGGTATGATGAATACCAGCTACTTTCTAGAATGCACATGAATTTAAGAATATTTATTTTTTATTTTGAAATAAAATGAATGATTAGTGTAGAATAGATATGCCTTAAGACAATGACTTTGGTATCGTCCTTAAAACTTACGCTTCACGGAGCACCATACCCACTTTGGTAGAGTGGTTCCTTCCTCATAAAGGTCACCATATACCTTAACACACTTGTCTCTTCCTTATGGAAGATTACAAACAAGTGCACTTGGGCCTCTTTCGTCTTTGTCTTAGGGATATCTAATGCCCCCTAGAATGAATGTATTTATGCATGTGCTAGTAAAAAGAGGACTTTTTATGATAAAAGGGGCGACAGATGTTCAAAGTGCGATAACTTTTGACTGGGATGTCCGATTTGGACGCACAACATATCAAAACGAAGAGAAAAAGGTGAAAAATTAGGCTGCAAAGGGGATTTGGCCCACTAATTTTCCCAAAAAACGCTCCTAAGACCCATTTTTTAGGGATTTATTAAAATGATGTGTATGCATACTTTCCTTATGACTTTATTTTCTCTCTTGGTTCTTCCACTTATGAAATGATGTGAGATGAATGATACGACTTTGTAAAAAATTATTTTATTTATTATTTACTTTTGCATATTTTCTTTATTTTATTTTGTTTGAGAGCCTTTTATCTCTTCTGTCGGACTACGTGGCTACTTAGCTTGCAAAGAACCTGAAACCAGGCTAGCTAAAAGGCAGACTGTCCGAGATAAGGGCGTTTATTGCAAAAAAATGTTTTTTTTTGTGATTTTTTCTTTGTTGTTTGGTTATGCTATGCAACAAACAAATGCGCTCCCAATTCGATCATCTGCGAATAGGCAAGAAGTCGTTTTAATCACGAGGTAGGGTTTTCCTGCAAAAAAGTGCATTGACGAAGGTAGGTTCTAACTGTTCTCACCAAGGTTGAGGCCCCCAAGGTGCCCCCATTATAGGGTCCCCACTCTCCAGCCTTCCGACCATGCTTAGCACTAAGGCCATAGTCAGTCTTTGTGCCAAAAGAGGAAGGTTATCACCTTGAGTGGTGGTTTCCAATCACACTGGTGGGCACAAGGCCATCACTACAACGAACCGTACCTGCCACCCACTCCCTATGGATTTCTCACTTGCCCCCGGGTATAGAGGGAACTGTTGTGTGCAAGGGTTTGTGTACAATTTGTATTTCAAACAATTGCGTAAATATAAACAAACAACAATTATTAAAGCCAAGCATTAAAACATGTTATAATACAAGATAGGGTAAAAGCATAATTTCTTGGTTTATTTATTTAAGCTGGCCCATCACTAAATGGGATCAACTCTCTAGGCTTCCCCAGCGGAGTGGCCATCTGTCACTGCCGTCAAAACGAGGCAGTCGGAGCAACGCGATGGTTCCGACTTTCCAATTTTAGCGTTTTTATGGGTATGGTTACAACGCCTGTCGCCGCCGTAAAAAACGAGGCGGTCGGAGCGACGTGATGGTGTTATCGACCCTCTTGTTTTCGCGTTTTTATTGGTGGTTACAATGCCTTTAGGTTGTCCGATAACCGGGCTAACCTAGGGGCGAGGTTGTCGAAAAGTGTCCTTGGGCTGTCCGATAACCGGGCTAATCCAAGGACTTATTTATTTTGGGTTCTATGGAGTCGCCACCGATATTTTTACCATAAACATCGGAAAAGGGGTTTTAAAAAAGGCGTTGGTTTTCGAAAACCAACTTTGGTCATTAGAACCAGAGTTGGGTAAGGGAGTTGGTTACGTGCAAAGGGAGTATTAGTCCCTTTACAACGCCCCTTTCGGGTTCCCTATGATAGGCCGGCTTATTTTTATTGATAAACTAAAAAAACGCTTTTGCCCTTTTTATTTTGCGGAATTTAAGAGTATGACTACATGGCCCTACTGTCTACTGCATAATTTAAGATAAAAGCGGTAAAGGTGGAAAGGGAGAATTTGAACCTCCGAAGCACGCTTTTTATATTAATTCTCTGGAAAAAGAGGGTGCTTTATGGCAGCCCTTCACTCTACAAGACGTCGGAAACCTCTCGAACGCCGAAAATCACTCTTTGAAAACACTCAGAAACTCCGGAAATGCATCGGAGGGATTCTAGAGAGAAGTTTTAGAGAGAAGGGAGAGCTATGCAGCTGTGGTGTGTGAAAATGAGGGGGGAAGAGCCCCTATTTATAGGTTTTCGCGCTGTCAGATGGCGAGACCGCCGGTCTCGTCTGACAGGGTCGAGACCGCCGTCTCGTCCAACGAGACCGCCGTCTCGTTCTTCACAGAAAACGAGACCGGGGTCTGGGTGAACGAGACCGACGTCTCGTTCTTCGTAGGAAACGAGACCGGGGTCTGGGTGAACGAGACCGCCGTCTGGGTTTTCGTAGGCAACGAGACCGGGGTCTCGTTAGACGAGACGGCGGTCTCGCTTGCTACGCGAGACGAAACGGCGGTCTGGGTCATCCAGAAGGCGGTCTCGTCCCTTCGAGGCGAGAAAACTTATTTTTTGACCCGAAAAACCTTCCTATCTTGGTACGGGAGCCTAATAGTCTCTCCTAGTGGCTTGTTAGGCTTCAGCCGTCTTCAAATAGGGGGTCTTCTGACTTTATTTGGAGCCCGGGCAAGATTTGGGGTCTACAGCTGCCCCCCCTTTACCCGTCCAGTCGACTGCTGGCCTTCTGTTGTCAGGATGATCGACTGGGGGGTAAAGGAGTTGACCCTCTTGCCCGGTTGCCTTTCGGATGTCCCATCTTGTGGCGGATGATCCTCTGGGGAGATGGTCGTGTGCCTCCGAGAGACTATTTCTGACGTAGCCGACCCCTTTGGTGAACACGTGGTAGAACCTCCGGATACTACTTCTGACGTAGCCGATCCTTCGGTTGATGGGTATAAACCCCCCATCAGGCTGGTACGGTCCGTTGTGTGGGACCGGATGGGCATGAACCCCCCATCAGGGTGGTACGGTCCGTTGTGTGGGACCGGATGGGTATGAACCCCCCATCAGGGTGGTAATGGCGGCTTACAGTTCATGTGGCCCATGCGCCGGTTAGGCGCTTCTCGTGTGCTGGTTGATAGGTATAAACCCCCTATCTGGCTGGTACAGTCCATTGCGTAGGACTGGTGGTAGTGGCGGCTTACTGCTCGGGTGGCTCATGCGCCGACTCCCTGGGGAATGATTTCTGTGCTCGTGCACTTCCAGGATACTACTTCTGACGTAGCCGATCCCTTCGATGGACACGTGGTGGAACCTCCGGATACTACTCCTGACGTAGCCGATCCTTCGGTTGATGAGTATAAACCCCCCATCAGGCTGGTAGTTGCAGTCCGTTGTGCGGGACTGGATGGGTACGAGCCCCCCATCAGGGCGGTACAGTCCGTTGTGCGGGACCGGATGGGTATGAACCCCCCATCAGGGTGGTAATGCGACTTACTGATCCGGCTCGAGCGCAGATCAGGCGCAACTCTCTGGAGAGTGCTGCTTGTGTTGATTTGACTGCTTTTCGGATTTCTTGAATAGTCATCCGGGCCATGCCGGGGATTTTGTTGGTGATCAATCGGCCTTTGCTGATTGCCGGGGGTCCTTTGTTTTTGTTCTTTTGGTAGTGATCTTCCAATCCTGGCTGGTTGGTTGGATGGATCTTGGTTTTGTTTGGCTTTTGCTCGGTGGTCGAAACTTTATTGGTTGGTGCGATGGCTTAATCCTGCCTTTTTCTCGCGGTTTTGGATTTTGGCTTTTTTCATTGAGCGTATGTCTTTTACTCTTAGTTTTCTTTTTGTTACGCTGACTTTTGGAAAGGGTGGCAAAAAGATGCATGAAATAAAATTTTATTTATTGGGAAAATTTTATTACAACCCTATTTTTGGAGCTACTATCCCTAAGGGCTATCTTCTGGGCCTGATCCCTGGGGAGGGTAATGCTGGTACATATGGTATCTGAAGTCCTCCATCTCTTGGACTTCATCCTGGTACCTCTGCTGAAAAGTCGCCCAGTCTTGGCGCATGCTTTGTTGGTGCTGGTACATCTCCCCCAGTCGGGTGTCAAAGGCCTCTTGCCTTTGGGACAATTGCTCCACTGTTTGGAATAGCTGCTCACGCCTCTGGGACACCTGTTCTTGTCTCACAGTCATACCATCGAGCTGCCGGCACAGGTCGTCCATGTGGAGGTGCATGCCAGCAAAGTCGTCTGAATACCGGGGCGGCTGCTGCTGCTGCTGGGAACCAGGGGATGTGGGCACAGCCTGCATCACATCCTGGAGCTCTAAGGCAAAATCCAGGGTGGGGTGGAGAGCCAGCTGGCTCCCTCTGCGGATCAGCATTCCCATGCTGACCAAGATCGTTCCGCCGATTGATTCGGGTCGCAGGTTATGGGCCAGCTCTTCCCGGCCAGGGCACCCAATCCTTTCTGCTAAGGGGGTGATGAGGGGAGCAACGAGGACGCCCCCCGCAGATCTGTTCCCGAAGTCCCTGAGGGCTTTCAGGAAGAAGTACCCGGGATTGCAGCGCCGTCTCTGGCTCATGCAGTATAGTATGAAGAGGTCAGGGAGGGATATCTTGCCTTGACTTTCTTTCCTCCCATGGATAGTTCCAGCCAGCAGCTTGTGGCAGATGCGGAGTGCTGGGGGAAGTGCAGATCCCCTCATCAGCGTGGGCAATGTGGTGGCTCCCGTGAGCTCGCGCCACATCTCAGCAGCAGTAAGGTGGGCGGGCCGTGAGCAGATGGCGTCACGGTACTCCTGGGTCATGGCCTCCTCGGGCCGGATGAACCCGATGTCCATGTTGAATTCTTTGAGGGTGGAAGTCTGGTACTGCCCATTCATAAAGTAGGTTACCATCTGAGTGGGTGGTAGGCCTGGGACAGTGGAGGGGCTCTCGGAGTAGGAGACGGAGGCTAAAAACTCCAGACAGCCGCTCGCGGTAAACATGTGTAGGTGGTGGGTGCAGCAGGAATCCCCACCCAATGCCGTCTAGGTGGGCCCGGACGTCGTCCTCCCATCCGAACTCAGCCAGTATGTTAAAATCCAGCTTGAGCATAGGGTGCCACTGGTAGGTCCTGATATTCTCAAGACGGGCCTGGTGCTGTGGCGCAAGCTGGGAAGGGTCCTGGGATGGCGGTGCTGCGGAACTACTAGCACCGGCAATGCCCCTTCTCTTTCTAGAAGCGCTTCTTCCAAACATATTGACTAGAGGGGGCTTGGGAGTGCAGGAGTTGAGGGAGAGGAGGTTCTGGGGCCAAAATGAGTTGTGAGGAAGCCCAAAGCCGCGCCCCCTATATATAGGGAAAATTTCCAGATCGAGACCGCCGTCTGGGTGGACGAGACGGCGGTCTCGTTTTTCTTCCGGGACGAGACGGCGGTCTGGTGCGATGAGACGGCGTTCTCGTTTTTGACAACAACGAGACGGCGTTCTGGTTGGCCCATACGGCGGTCTCGTTTTGTCAGGCAACCGAGACGGCGGTCTGGTGCGCTGAGACGGCGGTCTCGTTTCGCGGAAGAGAAAATTTTCATTTTTTGTATTTTTATTGCTTTTTTGTTATTTTTTGAAAGGAGTAATAGGACCTGGTCTAAAAACATTTTATGCATGCAATGTTTTTATGTTTTGATGTCCTATAATGCCTATTTTGATTAAGTTTTCAGAAGGATTTAACCGACGTGTCTTGTTGTGCTGAAAGCCTTCTGATTTGCTGCATTTTTCCTTTTTGGCTGTACCATGCCGGATTTTTGTGACCGAAGGATAATCTCTTTCTTTCTTTCTTTCTATTTTTCTTTCTCTATTTTTTCTTTCTCTCCTTTTTTCTCTTCTTTTTTGGTTTTTTTCTTTTGGTAGAGCACTTTTTGTCATGTAGTGTCCCTTTTTCCTTGCTTTAGGGGTTTCAATCCTCTTGTTGACTATACGCCTCCATATTCCTAAATTAATTATTAGAATATTGTCGTGAGGGTCAAGAGAAGAGAAGTAAGATGAGGTAAAAATCAATGGTTTGTGTTTTAGAGGGTTGATTTTTATTGATAAAGAATTTGTAAGAATGGCTGGTTAAGGGTTAAGCATGAGTGTTTAAGCTTTTGTCTAAGCAAACCTTTTCCCTCTCTCTTTTCTTTTTGTATTTGTTTTTTTTTTTGCGCTCTTTGGTTTTATTTCCATCGCTTTTTTGGATAGCTGACTGATTTCCCTAGATCGCCCTTTGGGTTTTCGAACTAGGATACTGTGTGTTGGCCCTAACTTTTGTCTAGGTTTACTCTCTTGTAAAATTTTGGAGAAATCCTAGCGGACCTTTATTTGTAACCCTAACTTTTGCCTAGGCTACCCTTTATTGTCGTTCGGGTATCCTACCGGGTTGACCCTAACTTTTGTGTAGCCCCCTTAGTGGGTTTCCTACCGGGTAATTTGCCCTTTTCTTTGGCCTTTGGCTTCTTTGGGCTTTTTCTTTTTATGGATTTATTTTTTGGTTCACAGTATCGTCGAAGCGTGACTTTCTTTTATGGTTTAGGTGAAGTCTTTATTTTTATGTGCTTCTAATCAGCTAACTTGATGATGATAGCAATGGTTCAATCATTTGGAAGCGCTTTTTATTCTTTTCTTTTCTTCTCTTTTTTGTGTTTACTTAGACAGGGTTATTTATGTGGTCTAGTCGAAAGTAGAAAGAAGAGAAGCAGATAGAAAGAATCATTCTTTATTAATTAATAAGGGAATATGTGCCCTAAAATGCCCGGGGGTCGGGCTCGCCCCGGGGGATAGTCTCTAACAGTCATGGGGTTTACATCCCTTAAACAAAGAAAAAGGTTTCCTAATGACTAGAGTGGCTCTTGACGCCTGCACTCCTCCACTTCGGAAAATCTGCTTGAGTGTGCGGAGAGGGGACTTCCCTTTTATTCTTCCTGCTCGACCCTTGAATGGGTTATATCCTAGGCCATACTTGTGAGGATTGTCTTTGAATTCTGGGGGTTCCCTCATTCCTTGGGAATCTGCCCCCAGTCCTTGGCCAGGATGGTAACCATGTTTCAACATCATACGGGCTGCTTTGGTGTTTCTGGGAAGTCGCTCTATGTTGGCAATTTCGAGCGCTTGAAAAGACGTTTCAAGTGCCTCTTCGGCTGCATCCACATAGGGTTGGGTGGAGGGTCCACTGATCAGGATATCGTCTTCTGCTTGGACCGTGACCAGTTTATCCTCCACTATGAATTTGACTTTTTGGTGGAGCGTCGAAGGTACTGCCTTAGCGTCATGAATCCAAGGCCTGCCGAGGAGACAACTATATGCTGGAGTAATGTCCATTATATGGAAATCGACGTCGAAGATAGTGGGTCCAATCTGGATTGGCAAATTAATCTCTCCCACTACTTCCCGTTTTGATCCGTCGAAGGCTCGAACGATGGTGCTACTTGGGCGCAGATGGGTCCCTTGGATAGTTAACTTATCCAGCGTGCATTTGGGCATTACGTTCAGGGATGACCCGTTATCCACAAGAACTTTGGCGATGAGGTATTCCTTGCACTTGACTGAGATGTGCAAGGGTTTGTTGTGCTTTGACCCTTCGAGAGGGAGTTCTTCCTCTGTGAAGGCGAGGTGATCGCTTGCCGTAATGTGACCGACGATCCTCTCGACCTTCTCTTGGGATATGGTGTGAGGTACGTGCGCCTCGCTCAAGACCTTCAGCAGGGCATTTCGGTGCGGTTCCGAGCTCATTATCAAGGATAACAACGTGATCTTTGCAGGTGTGCGATTGAGCTGGTCAATAATGGAATACTCGCTTTGTCTTATAAATTGAAGTAA